ATATGTAAATATGTACTAAAGAAACTTACATATTCAATGGTGGGCATATGGGGCTGATCTGACATTCCATCATCTTGTCGCCGACGCATTTTTCTATACTTCTAGTTTAAATTATGAGATCAGAATGTTTTCAATGAAATCCAAAATCAGTAATGTATACTCACTGAATCACCGCGATCGCCTTTGTCACCCTTCACACCCGGATAACCAGGTGGACCCGGCAGTCCAGGTGGACCCATTAGACCGGGTGGTCCAATATCGCCTCGATCACCTTTCTCACCAGGGGGACCTTGGTAACCAGGTAGGCCAGGTGGCCCCTCAATGCCTGGCTCACCAGGTAGCCCATCCAAACCACGTGGACCCAACGAACCTGGCTCTCCGGGTTCGCCCGCATCGCCTTTAGCACCGTCACGTCCGTCGCGACCATCCTTACCGGGCATGCCGGGCGGACCGGGTGGACCGCGCAACAGTTGTACTGGTGGATCATCGTAGTCTTCATCCTTAGCGCCACCAGGACCGAATATCTGTAGTAAGGTATCGTTTATAGATGGTGTTTTTGTTGTTGTTTGTCGATTCGGTGTTTGTGAATTTCCATTTCAATTTTCATAATGCAAAGTGCAGCAGCAGCAAAAGAATAAAAAGAATAATTTTGTGAAGTGGCTACTCAGCAGGTTGGCTGTTGAAAAGGCGGTTAAGCGTGTTACAGTGCAGCGTAAGCGCGCGTGCGTTCATGTGCACTTGAACGCGTGTGCTTGTGTGCGTGTGGGTTAGATTGCGAAGCGTGTTTGCCTCTTAAGGCTTAATACCAACTACTACGGTTGTTTATTTGTAGGTACTTTTACTGTTATTTTTGCCTACATTATTCCAACTTTTCATTTTGTTTTTGTGATTTTTATTTCAATAACTTTTCCATTATTTTAATCTCGCAAAAAGCATATTAACACTACAACACTACAAACAAATAATACTACAACAAAAATGTACGGCTATTAAAAAGGTTAGAAAAAGTCTTTTAACACATTAAAACCATAAATGCGTATGTATGTGTGGATGTTACTGCATACGCCCTATGGGAGTATGTATATAAGGATGCCTCAGAAATTTGCTTCAGATTTTATATGCATATCCTGTACTTATATATTACGTAACGCGGTGATAACCCATGCCAGCTTGAAGTTGTAGTCGTTTTCGGCTAAGAGCTTATACTAAGATTACCATGGCATACGACATTACTGCACTCCTTATACTCCTAGATATAAAAGGCGCTCTAAGGCTAAGGGCGTCTACCAGGTAGCCTTAAGTTCAGAAAAAGTTGTGATCCGTGGAATATTGCTGCTTCGAAAGCAGACAAATGCACAGGAAAAAGGACTTTTGGAACCGAGTCCAGGCATATAAACTTCGCTAAGGCTCTTGCTCTCAACAATTGAGGCGAAGGCCTGAATAGATACCAGCAGGTAGACCACTCTCGCCATCGATCGGTGAGCGTTAAACACTTCTTATGCGAATGTTTCGCACAACTAACAAACTACGTCAGATTTAAAGGGAACCGTTTCTTTGAGGACCTGGACAGCTGAGCCCAGTTTTACTGGAGGAATTCGCTCTGGATCTGTCAACAAGTCTGATTGATTCAGGAACATGAAGGGATCGGTTTTTAGAAAAATAAGCCTATCTAATCTAACTCAACTAAGCGCAGATAACCATCCCTAAAACACTAAAAAGGTAGGAGCAGGAGTCTTCCCTGAATCCCTAGGATTAAGAAGATCAATCCAACCATCCCAATTTTGGACGCGTAGGACTCTTTAAATATAGCAAGTAGTTAGCTTGATCTAGATTTAGTTTAGGTCCCTGGTCATCGCAATAGTCTCGGGAAAGAGGCTGTCGAAGAGTTAGCATGATAGGGTTCCACATTGGCCTCTGTCGAGGATGGGGTCTCACTTCCAATTGCATATTGAGAAATATTTCTCCATTCACTCAACTTTATCAACCACGTGTTGGTTGGTTCTAATATTATTTCGGGCTATGTATAAGGTATTAAAATGGCATGTCTGCCACTTAAGTGCAAAAGCTTTTCCGTCACCATTCTAATCTAACCAATTCCCGATAGATTAAAAAAAATTCACTAGAGAGAGGAATTGCCTATCGATGCTTTTCCTAGAGGAACTCAAATGTGTTAAAAAAAACTGGAAAACAAAGCATTGTCCTCTTTTAATACTAGAGCTTTTATTTTAATGCTTAGAAATATTGTCGCTAACGATGCACTTCTAACTTCCTTATCTGCACACTTTGCACAATTGGTAAATGACAATGCTTAATTAAAAAAAGGCTGCGGTTATCAGCTAAATAAGAACTTTCTTAACACATGTATCCGCATGCGCATATGTATGTAGATGTATTTTGTGCATGAGCATACATAGTTATTTATCAGGATAGAATGTTGCAGCAATATTACTTTTTAGGGCACACAACCGCACGTGTCCCGAAATAAATTGTGTTTGGTTTGCTTTTTTGACAAAAAATGTACTGCATATTCGTTATATATGCACATACGTACTCACATACCTACTATGTACATATATGCGGGAATGCATTGCTTACACGACATGAACAATGTATGGATAACCGCTTAAAACTTACTACATATGTACATACATACTACTCACATGTGTAGAATGTGAAGAGTGGCAAATTGCTGCTTCTAAGTAACAGCAGCAGTTGAGATAAGAGCTGCAACAGTGGAATTTGTGAAAATGGTTACGACAAAATTTTTTTTTTGCTTTTTTCATACACATTCGTATGCTACCCTGCAGGAAATGCATCTAAGCGAACTTTATGTTAATTAGGAAGGAGCTATAAGTCACTTATTAACTGTATATTTTCTTTGATGAAAGCTAACTATATTTCGATGGCGATGGCCTCTGCATTTGATGTAACTTGTAACTTGTAACTAACTACCTTTGGACATAAAATTTCAATAGGAACACCAAAGTAATATTCGAACTTCGTCAGACATAACTTCAAAATGATAATATGACAATTTCGATCTTCCTTTTATTTGTCCTCAATTCGAAAAAGTATTTGCGAAGTGCAGAATATTTAAGTAGAAACGCGTTTAAAGAAAACAGTCTCGAGCTTTACTCCAGCATTACTTGTCTACTTGTTTCAAGTTAGCTTTTTGTAGCTAACTATAAGTTATATATTTTATAGAAACCCCGCAAAAAAGCTAAGTAGGTTATTTTTTATAAATTGATAATTTTTTTCTGCAGGGTATGTTTATATATCGTATGTAGGTATGCGTTTATGTCTTATGTGAGGATGCCGTTGTGGAAGTGTGACCTTTTTGTGTCAATTTGCGGTAGAGTTCTGCAGTATTTTAAAGTGGTAATGGCAAGCCCAGTAAAGAATAACCAAATACAAACTTACATCTAAAAAATCCATATACACACATACATAGCAAAGATTCGATGTATGTTAAAAGCAAAACATATCGCTCGTTTGCTGGTAAAAATCATAGCTAAAAAATCCCAAATGCGAAAAAAAAATACTTTAAAAGTGTTTTCCTCATTGAACTTAAGTACGGAAGCTAACGGATAAAAAAGTATATCGATACTAATTTTAAAATTTAGTCAGGATTGATAAAACTTGATGATAAAACTTGAATTTAAGGCCTTAACTTCAAAATAGTGTTTGTTTTCTTGTTATAATTGCTAAACAAAATGGAAATGTTCCTTTTTGGATTACAATGCAGGGGGGTTAAAATTATAAAAAAAAAAAACCGAAAGACAACGAACTCAATTTTGGGTCGTAGATTACGAATCTGCATACCGTTTTTCTAGATCAGGTAATTTTCACAAGATATTTTCAAATCAAGTTCTGCAATTAAACGAGATAATACGAGTAGGGCCATGTACGACATGGCGTATGAGTAACATAATTTTCTGCCCTAGTACATACAAAAAGTTATTGCACATTTTCATTCGACCATTCGGTTTTCATCGTTATAGCTTGTTTTGCAAAAACATTTCCTTGCTAAGTCGATGTTTTTTTTCATAAAAAATAAAATATCTTGGCGAAAATTAACTGATCTAGAAAACGGTACACAGGGTCCATAATCTACGACCCAATCTTAAGTTAACGTGTTTCGGCTGTTTTTATTTGTGTCATTTTAAAAACTTGAAGCTTTCCCTACAGCGTTCTTCTTCCAGCAAATGAGCGGTACGTACTACGTAACTATGCGTAAGATTCAAACCACCAACAATAACACAAAAGTAGTAATATTAAAATATGAATCCTGTGTAAATTACCATTATTTGAATTTTTACACACCCATACTTATAGTCATTCATTTACATACATTAATATGTATTCATTTGCAAAAAAACAAAAAACAAAAAATTATTAAAATAATAAATTTAAAAATACAAGTCAACAGCTACAACAAACTACATACATTTAATAATGTGTTAAATACAACATAGAGGCTTTGTTTGGTTCTCATATCACCACCAAAAATTGTATATGTAAATTAAAGAAGAATTTTTCGCAAAAATGTTATAACAACTCGGTGACAAAATATATATTTTCGTCACAAAGACTCCAAATGTAACAAAAAAAAAAAAATCATAACAAAAAAGTTCAATTATTCCAGATTTTTCAAGTAATGAAATACGATAAATGCGGTTTAAGGTATGTATACATATATACGATTCAGGATTTATGTATAAAGCGTAGTACATATACGAGACAATGAGTTTATAGAGGGCCTTAAGGCATTATACCTGTGGTTTTTTAGACTGTCAATTGAATTTTTACAAAAAAGTTTGAACTTTGCGCAAATATTTTTTTTTCTTAATTGCGGAAATACCATATACAAAATATTTTAAAGCGTTGGTCACTGAAAGAGATAGCATTAAAATATAGAGATAGATTAAAAACTATGTCTCAATACATATGTAGGTGTTTGAATGACTGGGTATAAAAAGAAACTGCAAAAGTAATTAGGCTAGGCAAGTTACGACCACTCACATACTTCCCAGAAAGTATACCCGTTAGATACATACACATATAAATACCCCCATTTTCTATTGAAAAATTTTACTTTCTTGTTGCAAGCTAATTAATTTTAATTTTTCAAATACCAACGACATTCGTAAAAAATGTATTCTCGTATCCATATCTATCTATATAAATATATAATACGCGAAGGCATTTTTGGTTCGAGATAAAAGATCTACACTGTTCGCTCGATTTTCAAAAATGAGGTGTCAGATTAAAGCGCTTGGCCTGTAGATGTGCAACTTTTTTGGGAAAAGTCTAGCCACCTGCTGAAAAATGAAATTCAAATTATTTAATAATCAATGCCATCATATCCGCACCGTTCGTTCGATTTTCAAAAAATGAGGTGTCAAATTAAAAGGCTTGGACTGTATATGCAATAAGGTTTTAATTTTTCGATAAGAGTTGCCACCTTTATAAACTTATACTCATATTATTAAAAAAAATAAATCAATTATTACAAAATGGGTAT